TGCCGCCTCCAGCGCCAGGCTCACCTCTTCGGTTTGGTTTTATTTTTTTACTTTTTTTTTTGCTTTTTTGCCTTTTTTTTTTTTTTTTTTTTAAATCCTTATGGTGATATCTGAAGAGGGAAAATGACACTGCTATGCCAACTGAACTCTCCCGGGCCGTGAGGATGCACGCCATCTCCGACCTCCACTCCTCCCTCACCCTGCGACTCCTCAACAAGGGGCCCGAGTACCTCCAAAAAAAGGGCAGCCCGGGCAGGAAGAGCGCGGTGGAGAGGCTGGCAGCCGATAAGGCCAAGTACGTCAAAAGCCAGCAGGTAATCGGCACCAAGCAGGAACCTGTCATCGTGCTGAGCTCAGCCTCGGAGAGCAGCAGCGAGACCTGTTCGGTGGAGAGCAAAAAAATCATCAGGGACTTGGGCAGAGGGCAGGGCGCGAAGCCCCTGGAGCTGGCGAAGGCGGTGTACTCCTGCCGGGCCCCCCTGCAGCACGGCTCCCCCATTGCCAGGCGCAGCACCCCCAAGAGGCAGATGCGGCCGGATTCCCTGGTGATTTACCGCCAGAAATGCGAGTTTGGCAGAGGTCAAAGCCAGGACAGCTCACGGGGGAGCCTGGTGAGGAGGATCTTCCAAGGGTCTGTAAAGGAGAAGCAGTTGGCTTCCCCCGAGATGCCCAGAGTCATGGAGGACACCGCAGCCACAGAGAGCAAAGAACCTCTCTTGGCAAAAGACTGGGACCATGAGCCAAGCGACAACAGAAGGGAGCACGCCGTCACCGTGAGCGCCGAAGCCCCAGGGATATGTACAAAAGAGCATGAGGGACCCTCAACACCGAGTATACCTCCTGAGGAGGTCAGGGAGGTGAAGAGGAGAGGTCTCCATCGCTCCCAGTCAGACATCAGCTCTCGCTACTCCAAGTCCTTTTCCGAGTTTGATACATTTTTCAAGTACTGTGGCCTGGATCAGGAGGTCATTGAGGATCTTGGGAGAGAGAACTTCTCCGTGGTGTCCGACAACATCTCTTTCAAGATCCGCAGCATCAGTGTGGCGACATCCGAGAGTGACTTCACGAGGCACAGCGGGGATGAGGGGCTGCTGGAGGATGAACTCACAGAGCAGGTCCCGAGCAGCACCTCCGTGATCGAGCGCAACGCTCGGATAATCAAATGGCTGTACACATGTAAGAAAGCCAAGGAGACTAACAAGGTGATCCAGGAACTGGCATGATGACTTCTTTCAGCGTGCGTTGCAGCCTGGTGAACTCAAGGTGTGTGCAAAGCCTCACCCTGTTGATTTACTTATTTCTCTTTCCTCTTTAGCTAGTGGTTGACTTTTCTTAATTTATTTTAGTCTTTTCATGAAAGGCAAAAGGTGTATGTGTTTTGTATACGACATGTTCCTGTATGGCCTTTTTGCAAAGCAGAAAGCCGGGTCATTACAAAAACCAAAATACAAACAAATAAATGCGTACAGCTTGCCAGATTTAGATCAGCTCTCCCACCCCATGCAATTAAAGACTCAGGTTATGAGGGATGTCTGTCCTTTTCATATTGCTGCTTTGTAGATAGCTTGTTTTCTCTAATTTCTGCTGCATGAAATGATAGAAAAAAACTTGGAAGAATATTCAACCCTTAATTACAGTTACTTAGGTAACAGACTGAACTGAAACTATTACTGATTAGGAGCACACTGTATTTATACTATACTGGTACAGTTTTCCCTTCCTTACTCTCTCACTCTTTCTCCCTTCCCCTTATACATAGGCACCCCCAAGTATCAGGAAAGCAAAGCAGAGTCAGTGCTCCTGCTAGCAATCTGCTTTCCTCTGCAACTTGCTGTTTGGACCATAAAAGTTTGCTCCAGATGACCCCCTAGTATTTCCCAGGCTTGAAGTTTTCTGTCCTATTTGACCGTAGTGGATGTGGCTCTTCTGAAGTGGGCTTTGCCGTGCGGTTTTGCACTGGGAGCTGTAAGTCAGTTGTGCAGTTTGCCTTGGTTAGAGGGGTACTTCACTGCTTTCAACTAAAGATAATTTGTACAAATGTGTGTCATTGGAAATCAATTACTTCACAGACACAAGCAGAACCAATTTAGCCCTGGCAAAAGCTGATATCCTGGTTTTAATAAAACCTGTGGGGTTTTTTTTTGCATCTGACCTCCTGAAAAAGAACTATATTCATGGGGCCTTTGGTATGGATGATCTAGTAGATAACAGTTTTTTCTCCTTCCAATATGTGAAGCCCTTAGGATAACTACCGCAGCTTACAGTGTGGTGTTTAAAAATTGCATGAGCAGAGCTTGGATATGAAGGATTATGTGAATATTTTCTGACAGTTCATAATTGGTGCATGAGAAGAACATCATCTAGTGTAGATACAGATGTTGACAGGGAGTGTGGGCCTTATGAATGTGGAGAAATGTAGTGCCCGAGCCTCTTTCCTACGTAGATGTCGGGCTGTCACTCCCCATTCCTTTAATCTATATAAGGCAAAAATCCATTTACTTACCTGAAATTGGTTTTAATTACATGAAATTTGGATCACTTTTAAAATTTAGATTTTTCCCAAAACCTTGTTTACCTCCTGCAAGTTGAGGGAGGAGGAAGGGAGACAGAGCCATTTTCACACAAACATTTCAAGCCCTTGTAGATAAGAACGGTTGTCAGGTCATCCGGCTGACAACTTAAAGAAGTGTTGTTATGTGGCAGATCCATTCCCAAATTACTTTAGAGAGAAGAAAGGGCTCTCCTGAGCTAATAATTTCTCTGTGCTCATCTTTCTGTGATAAAAGACAAGGGAGACACACAAAATAAAATGATGCAGGTGGTGGTTTGGGAAGCTCATTGCAGCTGCCGGCTTTGCTAAACGCAGAGGATGGAAGGCAGATTTCACCACAAGCAGGAGCCCCGTAACAAAACCAACCACATTCCCATGAAGGAAAACAAAATAAAGGCCTGTTTACACCTGAATGCCTTTGCCAGGGGTAAGGTCCAGGGCAAGAACCATGGCTGTCACTGCAGAGCCTGCTCAGGAGGGAGCAATTGGCCCTTTCTCCATCCATTTCCATGGTGCTCAGTGTGTCCAGTGCCGCATCTGAGGCAGGAGAGGCTGGTGACCACCCCAGGGAGCAGGCAGTCTGCAGAGGCGAAGGGCAGGAGGTGCTTCACCTGGGTAAAAGGCAAAGGCAGGAGGGGGGAGCTCTTTTTCAGGGGCTGAGCCAGTGTAACATGGGCTTGATCAATGGCTTTTTTTTTTTTTTTTAAACATCTGAGACAAAATGACAGTTCATAGCACATAGCCTAACAAGGTGGTGAAAAGACCTCCTTGAAGTAAACAGCAAGTTTATTCAAGTATGGGGTCATTGTGCAATCATTTTAATAGAACAAATGCTTTACACTGACAGCAATTTCGTTTAGCCCCAAAATTTTTGGCAGTCTAGGAAACACTAATCCATATGGGCCATATTGTAAACCTAATTTTAAACACACTAGGGCTGACTCTCAGGTGATAGACCTCAGCGGTAGGGCTGTGATTGTTTCCAAGGTAATTTTTGAAAACTGAGAACATACTTACCATTTTGGGCACAGAACCAGAAGGTTCAGAAAGGTCAGCTAAAAATACCTGTACACGGCACCCAGGATACAGGACAGGAGTCATCAAGAGCTACCGTAAGTTAAATATTACATTTACTGGGCAGAATTTAAGAGTTGTTATTACCACATGATCACAACACGAGTCCTGTAGTTCTGATCAAATAAATAAATGTTCATCTTTTCTTTCAGTCCTGCACTTTCTCCGACAATGCAGCATGAAGTTAGATACCTGTGTATTTTCACTATATCTACATATCTGACTCTGTTTAGTTTGCTTACTGGTTAGTAATGGCCAGTGGACTCCTGTGTGCTAAGGGGAACCTGCTGCATGAGGGACCAATGTGCTCTCCCTGGCGCTCCCAGGCATGTCCTTGAAGGCTCCTCATTTTGCATGGGGGCTTGAAAATTGTTGCACCTTCTTTGGAAAAAGAGGCAGAAACATCTTTTCTAAAATCCAGCATTCGTTACATGTAAAATACCTGTAGGGAACCATAGGGCGTTTATGGGCTGATGGTCATCCCGTTCATATTTTATGTTCTCCCTTTTATTTTTCATGAGCTCGCGGGGACCTAGTGGGGCACCATGTAAACAAAACAGTCATTTGAAGGATCAGGTTCCCTAATGTGTTTCATCAGGGTGATGACTGCAGAGTCTGAGGGTGGGTTGTGAGCTTCAGAGAACCAAGGTCCTCAGCGAGATGGGCATTGCTGCTTCATGGTAGGACGTTGCCTGTGTTCACCTCTGCGTCAGCCCCTCTGGCTGTAAGTCCTGCTTGACTCTAAGAAGGGGGTTCGCTCTGCATCCTCCTTCCTGCTTTGAATCAAGATTATTCAGCCTTGAGTTTCAGCATCGTTCTGAAATGAATGTTCGTTATTCAAGTGGAAATCTCCTGAGAGGTGAATTTAGTATGTTGGCAATAGCCATGAGCAGCTGAAGAAAAGCTTTAGAATATCACCTTGTGCTTGTCTGGTGTGATAAATAATAAATTATGCTTTTTTTTTTTCTCTCTTCAGAATTCTTGACTTGGAAGTTGAACAAAACCAGACACAGGAAGAAACTCTTCCCTCATCTGGCTCATGGCTACTTTGTCTGAGTTAGTATTTTATTATTGCCTCCTACCCTTAGCCCTGTCCCTGGCAGACTCATACTTGTCACAAGCACAGGGATAGCCAAGAGCATGATGACAAGTGGAGATTGTGAACTGTGCCCCAGCGAGGCAGCAGGAAAGGAAAGCTCCCAGAAAAGAGAAGCATGGCAGCAGCTGCCATCCACAACAGTATTCAGCATCAGCTCACTGCCTCAGGATGCCACTCCAGGCTGTGACAGAAGGTCTGTGTTGTGCACCCGTCTCTTTCCAGCACTGAATTTGTCAGCTGGGATGGGGGGAGAAAGAGGGAATGAAGTGGCAATGACCTCTGGGTCAGGCATTTCCTTGCAGGCAGACAGGCTCCACCTGGACCTTCAAAGGCTTTGTCTCACAGGGCTGTTTGACCACGGCACATCCTGACATCATTAAATGTTATTTGCTTGGCTCATGAGGACTAACGGTGGCAGCTTTGTCTGGGATACTTGGCAAACATGTTGTAAGCTAAACCTCTGCCAAGCCTCTCTTTCTCTGAGAGTATTCAGGCCAAGTTGGAGTACCTTGTATCCATCTAGTTTTCTCTGTCACACAGCCTGCTCAGCCAGTGGGGAGGAATACCCTTTAAAACCCTGCCCAAAATATTTTCAGGAGCATGAAACAGGTATTCAGGATTTTGCATTGTTACTGCCTTGCTGCAGAATGGTACAATTCACATGTACGTATGCTCCTCCACTTTGTTTGCAATACGTCTCCGACTCTGACATTGCAAACATTTCAGTGTTTTGTAGCTTGTGGTTTAACACCTTTAATTTTATGCACTGTGAGTGAGCAATGGCCTTACAGAATCACATCAGGAAACTATCCCAGGCTATGCAAGGCCATGCTTCCCTAGCGTGGGTCTCGAGTATAGTTGTGCTTGGGACGTGCAGGATGCCATCCCTGCGCTGCGAGGCAAGAAGGCACGTCAGGGCACAGTCAAGCCAGGTGAGTGTCATGCTGGGGAGAGACACCCAGTGTAGACAGCACCTTAATATCGGCAATAAAATGCTTCATTTGGACTGGCCAAGCTAACTGTGTTTTAAAAGCTGATAAAAAGTACTTTAGATTATCGGTGTAGTGAATGAAGCCTCTACAATAACTCATGGACTTTTCTGGCTGGGCCTCAAACACTTACCCAAATCTGTCATTGCTCACTAGAAAATGTCTTGCACCAAAGCATTTTTTTTGTGGACACAGCAAACCACAAAAAAATGCAAAAAAAAAAACCAACTCAATCAAAGCCAAAGCCAGTTCCGTTCCCTGTTCAGTCACACTAATGCCAATCTGTGAGAGCTGCCCCACTGGAGTAACAGTGAGTTGTCCTGCAGAGGTTAGAAGTTTACTTTGTGTTACGATGGATGTGGTGTCCAGCTTACCTGGCCTCTGGATCTGCAGTGTGAGGAGACCAGAAACACAGGTCTTCATTCTCCGCATTCCTCCTGCCTGCACCATGGCATCTCGCCTCGCTGCGTCTCCTGGCCCAAGGCAGCTGCCAGCACGGCCGGGTGGATG